TTAATGAGTTACAGCTAATCATACAAGACTATACGCCGTCAGCAATCTGTCTTCAGGAGATCTTAAGCAGACCGACAACTTTACGTCAGTACATGTCTTATCATTCATTTTCTCCGACGGGAAATAAAGCTACTGGAGGATCTACGATTTTGGTGAAGCAGAGAGTGATCCAAAGCCCTGTTTCACTTCATACTAATCTTCAAGCCTGTGCAGTATGATTAACTTTTCACATAACATTTACTTTGTGCTCTTTGTACATTTCACCTTCACTGCTCTTCAACAGTCTGATATTCAGAAGCTATATGATCAGCTCCTAAAGCCCTGCTTCATCATGGGCGATTTAAATGGGAATAACCCTAAATTAGGAAGTTGATCACTTCCCTACTGTTCTAAAAGCTGTTAAACCGGATGATGACCCACCTTCATCGTGGTGGAATTTTACAAAGGCAAATTGGTCCTTGTTTGAAATATTATGTATCGAAAAAATAAAGCCTGACAATTTCAGAAATGTATAAACCCCACTGAGTTGTTTATAAATAATATTGCTGGCCAAACAATTTCTAAGTCCTCTGCAAATCCTCATATTCGAAAACCATGGTTTAATAACGACTGCAAACAAGCAAGAAAGTGTAGGAAGAAGGTGGAATATAAATATTTCCGCAAACATCCTACTGTTCATATTTTGAATAATTTCGATATTACTAGCAAAATAAGCGCCAGGAACAATGTCTCCAATTCACGGACACCCATGTCCAAGGTATAGAACATGGTTAGAAAATCGTCTGTACACCACCTTGAAGACGGTGACAAATTAATAACAGTTAAATATACTTGGTGAAACTCTTGCCAAAAATTCTTCATCAGAGTTTCAGAGATATCAGAAACATCGGGAAAGGAAAAAGTTATTTTTGATTCTAATAATGGTGAAGATTTCAATGAAGTATTATCACAATCTCATTAAAATCAGACCTTAGTTCTCTCTATCGCTAAACAAAGATCTTAGGACATCTCATTAAGAGTCACGTCAGAACGACCTTCATCCAACCAATCAGAGCGTTGCTTTCCAGATCATGAAATAGACAGTCGGATTGTGTTTTCTAATCATGCAACCACGAAATATTAAAAAAGGGACAGTTTCGGGTTTTATGATTGTATCCATATAATCTAGGACATCTATAAGCCATTCCAGAATGTTCTTCTTATTAGTTTTAATTTTTTAGATCGAGAATACGTCAAAATGTGTTTCGAAGCGTAGTCGCCAAATTGAAACTAGTGTCGTAAAGCTCGAGAAACCTGCCTTCTGAATGGTTAATGTCGATTTCTTGTCAGTCATTTCATTGGTCGGTCAAAATTCGCGAAATGACGTGACCCATAATGGGATGTCCTCAGATCTTTGTTCAGCGGTAGCGGGAACTAAGATCTGATTTTAAAGAGATTGATATTATCATTGCATGAGCTACATACCACTCTTGAGCAAGCTCATGATACTGCAGCAGGGAATGATAATATCCACTATCAGTTATTGAAGCATTTGCCTGAATCTTGTATTGAGACACTTTTAGATATTTTTGACCAACTATGGAATTCAAGGTATTTTCCTCCTTCGTGACATAATGCCATTGTAGTCCCGATACCCAAACCTGGCCGGGATAATAAAGATTCCTCAAATTATCGCCCTATATCTTTAACCTGTTGTGAACGAATGGTGAATAATAGATAAGTTGGTATCTGGAAACATATAATCTTCTCACAAATATTCAGTGTGGTTTCCGGAAAAGTAGAAGTACTATTGATCATTTTGTACGGTTAGAATACTTTGTTAATAATGCTAACGTAAACAAACAACATGTAGTATCAATTTTCTTTGATCTTGAGAAAGCATATGATACCACCTGGAAGCATGACATTTTAAAGGATTTACATGATCTTGGCTTGAGAGGTCGTTTACCTTCTTTCATAACTCAGTTTTTAACAGACAGGCAATTTGAAGTCCGAGTGGGTATAACCGTGTCTGACCGTTATAATCAAGATCAGAGTGTCCCGCAAGGCAGTATTTTGTCTGTAACTCTATTTATTAAAATAAACAAAGGTTCGAAGTGATTCAGTATATAGATCACTTTTCGTGGATGATTTTAATCTATCTTATCGTGGTAAAAATATGCATACGATAGAAAGGCAGTTACAAATATGTCTAAATAAAAATGACAAGTGGTCTCTTGAAAACGGGTTTGTATTTTCTAAATCAAAAACTAATTGTATACACTTCTGTAGAAAATAAAATCCACATAAAGACACTGAATTATTTTTAAATAGCACCCCTTTAAAGTTGTAAAGGTGGCCAAATTCTTGGGACTCATCTTTGATTACCATGTAACTTTCCTACCACGCATTAAGGCACTTAAAGGTAAATGTCTCAAGGCACTCGATTTGATGAAAGTTGTATCTAATTCAAAGTGGGAAGAAGATCAGGCCACCCTCTTACATTTATACGGGTCACTGATCGGTTCTAAACTTGATTACGGCTCCATCGTCTACAGTATGGTGGAAGAGGGGCGGTCGGGTAGCCTAGTTAAAGCGTACGCTCGTCATTTTAATCATAGGCTTAATTGATAAACTATCACCAGTGACTGAAGGGATGATATAAATCCTGCCAGGGTCCATGCAGGAAGCAAAGGTTCTATAGTTGTTTGTTTTTTGTTTAACGCCGCACTCAGCAATGTTCCAGCTATATGACGGCGAATCTGGACCAGACAATCCGGTGATAAATATCATGAGCTTCGATCCACGCAATCTGGATACGATGACATGCGAGCCTGACCACCTGATCCCGTTAGTCGCCTCTTACAACAAGCATAGTCGCCTTTTACGGCAAGTATTGGATTCTGAAGACCTATTCTACCCCGGAATCTTCAAGGGTCGCAAAGGTACTGTTAGTCTCCATGGTCCCTAGCATGGTGATAAAAAAAAGTGACTGATGATCTCTAGCCCATTTTTATATTGTGTTGTTCACTAATACTTACTGCTTTTTAATATTCTCAAATAGTTTTAAATCGAATCTGTAATATTCTAGTTATTGTTCTGTCCATCATTGACAGCTTTTTATTTAAGTATAATGAATGTATAACCTCTCGTCACGATATGGTTGAAATACTGCCGGTGTGACATTAAATATTAACTCACTCACTCACTCATTCACTGATCATTGACAAAATATTCTGAATTTTGCGAATGAGTCTGGTCGATCTTTCGTTGTTTCAAATTTAAATGTTCATATAAATCTGATAACTAGAGAGCATGAAATAAACGTATGGTCTCTACGATAACCACACAGCCAAGTAGTAGCTGAACATCAACTTTCCTACTGGCATTATGGGATGAATAATTCATGTTTAGGTATTTAGGCAACAAATACTTACTTTGCGTGAGTAGCGGGAGCTTCTCATAGTGTAAGATATGCTTACACTTTTCGCAAACGCCTTTCCCCACCTATTTTGCCTTTTACATCCAATGCAATTGCTTGAGGCGGATGGTCGAAACTGGTTGTCTTCCATTTTAGGATAAATATGGTTTGATCTTCATCTTTGTACTGTATCTAACCAAGAGGTATTTACTTTTCTGAACCAAGATAATAAAATAATGAAATACCAGCACCCCCGAACTAATTAATGGACAGTAAATATTCAGTCTACTTGTGAATCCATGTAATCTTTATTTAATTTACCGAAACAAATAACTCTTAAACAGACCATAAAAATATTTCAAATTTTACAAAACCATTTGATACATGTGAGACTGGGATAAATGAAAACAGAAATAAATTAAGGATGGTGTATACTTCCAACGGCTATCACAATCTTATTTATCTTATTGGGTTTTTTTTAGAGAAGATGAATATGCAACATTTATCACTGTTTATATTTCCTTCTTTTACCTGTGATATATCCTTTTCCAATTATAACTTTCATTTTTCTTTTCCTCATACAATCACTCAATGGATTGTCTGGTCCAGCCTCGATTATTTACAGACCGCCATCATATCGCTAGAATATGGTTGAGTGCGGCGTTAAACAACAAGCAAACAAATCCAAGTCATGATAATTAGGTAATTTACAAATAATTGCAGAATTTGCCTTAGTTCATGTAAACTATACATATAACTAAATTATATGTGTGTGAAATATTTGCAGGATGTAAATAATCGCATTTGCACAATCAAAAGTCAAACAAATTTAGTGATTGAGTTTGATTTAACACCGCTTTTAACATTATTCCATTTATATCACGGCGTGTCAGCTTAATGTTGGAGGAAAGCCCGAAGTGATGCAGGTCTCACACATTTACCATTTCGGCACGGGTATGGTGCCGACAAACCTAGAAACATGATCGGGGCGAACCGGGATTCGAACCCACAATCCTAGGTTCTAGCGTGCCCAAGGGACGCAACTCTGCACAGCGAATCGCGGCGCCTTAGACGACTGGGCCACCTGTGCCCCAAAAACAAATTAAGGGTTAATAATGGCCCCGAAATTGGGTTTATTTATTTGACGTAAGGACGTTTTTGACTGCTCATTTGGGCTCATTTCGTGCAAGAGGGTACGAGCTTACTGTATGATTATTATTTTGCCCTGTACCGACTCAATGTGCGCAAAGTACTACTTCAACCGTGTGAAATCTATAAAAAAAAATTGCCTTTATAGTTATTTGGAGATTATATATTAGGTAAACAGTCGAAAAAGAACTGTCATGCTATCACCTTTGCTATATTTAACTGTATGAATGTTAGCCAATATTTTACAAACGACAAAGATGTTAAAAAAATGCTCGATCACAGTAATATTCATATGTCAAAACCTTTCCGACAATATAACTACAGGTGTTTAGGAATCACTATCAGATAGTGATGACGAGAGGTGTTCGCAAAAAATGTGAACATATACTGCCCCAGTGGTGGGATACAGCATGGAAAGGTTGAAAAAGCGACAGCTATATGACGTATTTGCTCTGTGTAGACATGATTTATTGAAGTTGTATGGTGAAACAAGAAACAGAAACAGACAGTGAAAATATACCCTCTGTGTTAGGACTCAGTAACCCTATATGTAACTAGTGTGTCATATCGTTCAAAGAACAACTCTAGTGCATGATCATACAGCAAGAAATCATACTTGTTGAGCGTAGAAATGGCCTCAAATTCTTCACGTGAAATATCGGAAGAATTCATGTGTTTGTGCATGTGCGGTGGAAGAACATATTTACCGACTACTTTTAACTTAAACGTCTCTTCGAACAACACCTGAGTCATGTACGAATACTCCGTTATTCCAAAGAACGCCATATGTTTAAGGGCATCTTTGGCACTGCTCAACATTTTATCATAACACTGCCTTTCGGACATTTTAGTGGTAGAAAGGCATTCGTCTAAGGACATATTTGCTAACATTTGTGTTTGTCTGTTGATGGCGGGGTTCTGTGGACAGCCAGTAAAATGTTTGAAACTGACATCTTTCCCCTTGGACATCGCACGGCATTCTCGGCTCGCATGGTTTAGTTTGTCCGAAGGAACCTGAGACCACTTTGGCCATCCATGCTTCTTTACTTCGTTCCACTCATGGTAGAAATGGTGTGCTGGGTATCGTAGAAGTGTCATGTAAAGATACCTGAAAGCGAATATGTGTCATGTTTCAGAGAGATTACAGTTGGTGACGTATGTATGTAACTGAATGCATACTAAGATACGTGAATGAGGGAAATTATTAATCCTAGCATTATCACTCGAAACGAGTCTGTCATGATGAATTTGGTTACAATTTAGTACAAAACAAGCTTTGACATGATTCGTAGCTAGGAGCATGAGCAACGATACTTGTGAGGAAATAATGCATATTACAGTGAAGAATATGAAATTTTACTATGATATTGTTTATTACGTGCCTCATTTTCGATAGTGGTTTCCGACGAATGCCTAAGTTTCGGGATCCGCTTATACATTCAACCAGCGTCCTCAAGCCTGGGTATTTGCCACACGGCCATGGGTGCTTAATGCTGGAAAACAACACTGATTCTCTGCTATATATGTAGCATGGGCAGTCTTTTTGTCCTTTACAGCTACGACACTTGCCATATATAAGGCCATTCTGAAGCACAGTCGACAAATCTTCGGCACCGGTGAAGGGTATTTGTACGAAGACCAGAACGTCATGTTCCCTCTTGTCAATGTAAAATGTATGTACTTCCTTTCCGTACACATTCTTTACATAAACTCGTGTTGGGTGTATTAAGGAATCTAAAATGTCATCATCATGGTTTGTACGTGTGAATATTTGTAGAGAAGAGAAGACCAATAGTATCCATAGAAAACCAACGACGGATATAAATCCAAATATCAGTGACACCTTTCGTGCCATGAGCAAAGCCAGTAGGAAACAGCTGACAAATCTGAAAGAAAACAACATTTATTAGGTGAACATGGTAAAGTTCATTAAATGCCTCGAAAACTAGTGAAAAGCTGACATATGTTATCTATAGAAAAACAACGACAGTTGTAAATCCTATTACCAGTGGCACCTTTCGTGCCATTGGAAAAGTTAGTGGGAAACACCTGACAAATCTGTAAAAGAGGAACATTTATTAGGTCATTGGACCTAAAAAAGCAATTTTATGTAACAAACGTAGCAACCCATCTTATATATCAAGATTACATGTTACGATCGCTTTATATTTCACAACAATTTGTGTTGCATCGTGTCATTTCAACCGTATACTTACAATCTGATTATTGACACTGCATACAAATTATGCTTTACATTAGCACATATTTCCTGCTTGTTTCCTCAACTTCAGAAAACTCATAAGCCGCATAAGCCGTTGGACATCGTCCTCGGCACCCACTTTTGTAAAACCTGTACCCATTAGATCGCGACATGAATGATCAATTCCGCGAGGTATGCCACATCATAACTGGCTATATTTGAACGCAAAACATATGAATCAGAAACTGAAACTGAAGTCATGACCGAATTTCGTAAAACAAGTTCCAGTATCTGTGATCTGTGATTCGAATTGAATTCGAGTTTTGCGCATTTCACTTATAATAACATTTCTACCTCGAAGTGCAGGCACCCTTGAATTACATATATATCACTCAACACTATATCAAAACAGAAGGTAACTGCCATTTTCGTCACAAGTAAAACATTTCGAATGGTCAACTTACGTCGCTTGCCCTTTTGGGTGAAACCCATGAACAATGGCAACAGTCCAGTGGTCACAATATGGGCGAGTTCGGTGTTCAAACCCTAAAACGCGGGACTCTCCACATCACACAATGGCACTGTTGGTATTATAATTTGACACACATACTTACAACGTCCGCAGAAGAGCGATGCTGTACCAACCTTGAATTCACAGAAATGAAAGGGAGGTTACAGCCTCTTATCGCTGGCTGTTGGCCTTAAGCGAATGCATCATCGTCTATTAATGGTTATATATATATAGATATTCAGTGGAAAAATAATTCACGGAAAAAGTAGCCGTTTATTTGGAAACCCTTCAGGATGTTCCTGGATGAATTAACTTGCTTAGGTGACTAGAGATTGGTATTAAATTAGGCAAATTTGTGGCAATGTTAGTTAAGGTTAGTTAAAGGAAAGTACTGAGATTTTCATCGCGTATGTGCAAGTAAATAGAAGTAGTTCAAGTGTCTCTTGAAATACCTTGTTTTTCTCATCTCATCACAATGGCACTGTTGGTATTATAATTTGACACACATACTTACAACGTCCGCAGAAGAGCGATGCTGTACCAACCTTGAATTCACAGAAATGAAAGGGAGGTTACAGCCTCTTATCGCTGGCTGTTGACCTTAAGCGAATGCATCATCGTCTATTTCAGAGTTCGGAGATAGTGAAGTGCAAGAGAGAAGAACAGAAACCATGTGCTTTGTGTATTTAACATCCATTGTTCTTCGTTTCATAACACTGGAACACAATAAAGGTTTTGCATTAAGTAAACTCTATACGTGGTTGCAGATGTATAGAATGGGAGGAGGCATCATCACTTCTAACTTCAGTAGTACGTGGTCTCTGTTTCAACCATTTATCACTGAAGGGGAAATCTTATTTCTCCAGTTAATGATAACACAAGTCTTGTACCCCGTAAGTCCCAAAACAAGAGACAATAACAATACTCCAGTGCTGTAAATGTGATCTCTTTCTCTTTCGCTTTCCCTTCCACTTTCGAAATCAAAGATCAAATCACATCTTGGCAAAGAAAGTAACAAATGTCAAATATTGAAGATCGCCATGTAGTCTTGTGTACAAAGTGGACAAGTAGTTTAAGGATAACAACTCCCTTAATTATACTGTTCCAGTATAATAAAAGGAGTTATCCAAAAAGCAGAGAGCAGTCGGTCGGTGCTTCCATCCCCGGCCGCGTTATTTCAAAAGACGTTAAAAGATCGTGCATGTTGTTCCCAACCTGACACGCGGCAATAAGGTAATAAACAATAACTGGTCGGCTGGACACTATAATGTTAAACTGCGGGATGATATCTCAGTGAGGTAGCACACGTAATGTGTATATATTAATATAGAAAAGGAGGCACAGAAAAGTGGAGTAAAATTGAACACAGTTTTAACTGGCTGGGGCTTTCAACTCGTACCACATACAAGTGTCATCTATGCAAGTCAAATGAAATGTAAAATCAGTAATGGCCTGATGAGAGTCGTACATAGTACGAGTTGCAAGCGCAAGCCAAATAGAACTGTTAAATTTTAACTCCAGGTGTTTCCCCCCATTGCACACAATAGGACACCAATGACAGAATATGTGTCCCTCAGATGTGTACACATAAAGCAAATCTCAAGTCTCATCTTGACAATACGACGAAAAAAAGACTCTGCAAAAGAAACAGGACTAAGATAGTGAAATAGTAGCCATTTGATGAGTGTCACTTGAACCACATTGCAATTCCACGTTCATACTGCCAAGTGCCTTTATTGACGTTCCTTAATTTGACGAACAACTTGCAATGCACGGGGATGAATGTAGCGTAAATACGTTTAGCCTCCAAAATAGTCAAGGACTTGAGTCTACGCTCAGTCCTTTCTTTCATTCAACTTCGTAAACCGTCGACAGTATATTTCAACACAAAATGACGAGACCTAATACAGTAGAGAGAAAAACACAAATTATGGTAACAGAGGAAAGTTCTTTAACCGTCAGACAATGGCGACGTTGACGCTTGTGGCAAGGTAATAGTGAGATGAGGAGAGATCTCATTTGCCAGGATTCCATTGACCTCACACAGACACATGATGTGTTGCAGATATGAAGATAATCGATAGAAAGTCAATTCTTTTGTCAGTAGATCTAGATGTACTTTAGAAATTCAGTACATGCTTTAAGATGAGTTGACGGAACAAAAGTTCCAACTAATCATATTCAATGTAAACTGAAATGTGATCACACGTTTACTTTGGGGGTTTCTTTGGAATCGCATATTATCGGAAATAAATGTTTAACGAAATAAAGTCATAAACATATGGAAAAGAGTCTAACGCAGTCTGATATATTGCTGGTAATAATGTATGAGAGGTGGACATTGTGAAACATATTGTAGCAAGCAATACTTGAGCAACATTAAAGTCTGTGTCAGGCAAACAAGTTCATTACTGCATCAGCAACGTTCTACATCGTCGAGGAACCAGGTTACAACTGAGACCAACCGGTCCTCCTTTTAGTAGGCTACGAGGACAAGCATTTTATACTTGGGATATACGCTGCCCCTGAATCGACACAGGAACTAAATGTTGTTTCGTGGTCAGATGAAAAAGTTGGTTGTTTCGTGGTTGATTAACGCCGCACTCAGCAATATTCCATCTACATGTATATGACGGCGGTCTGTAAATAATCGAGTCTGGACCAGACAAAGCAGTGATTGATATCATGAGCATCAATCCACGCAATTGGGATATGATGACATGCATCAACCAAGTCAGCGAGCCTGACCACCCGATCCTGTTAGTGGCCTGTTACGACATGCATAGGTAGCTGAAGACCTATTCTACTCGGGATCTTCACGGGTCTCAGGTGAAATATACATAGTTACATTGTCACAACTTGTGCTTGGTACTCAGGGACAACATCAGAACGTGAAAGTTTCGAAACTTTTATTGAAAACAAAACAAATCTGATTACACGATGTTTATATATTACTGGAACTGTGGTGACATAGGCGCTGGAGATACCTGGAAATATAAAACATATTTGTTTGCTTGCCGGGTGATTTACGTGCTATTCCTGCGTCAGAAAGTGCGAGGTGAATATTAGTATTATAACTAATAATGGCAGCTGCAAACCAAATTCTAAAGATGGCAATTTAAGAACACGAACCCGATACGCCTATCTCACTACATGGCCTTATTTTCGGACACTCAGAACTAAACAGATATGCATAGGAGCATACATCAATACAACCATGCATACTGGCCTCCTCAAGACGTCACACAGACGTAAATGCACACAGACGTAAATGCACACAAAACAATGTTCATTCGGAAAAGGAACATAGTATCAAACCCCGGGATTCAATCCCAAATACAAGCAGCTCATATCCACATGAACACCAGCTTTGAACGTAACCACCGGATACACAGGAAATGAAAGTTTCTGAAATAGAAACAACACACAAAACACCACATATCAGTAAATACCGAAAACCAACGCTCCAGTGCACCCGACTTCAAACCCATTTACAAAATACACCGCACTCGTACCTGAACATACACATACCTATGTACACTCAAAATCAAATACACATTACTTACCTCCAGTGACAGCAGTTGTCTGCTCCTCGGCTACCTGTTCCAGAACAGGGGTTGGGACATACTGTACCATTACAGAGGCTCCAAGCACACGCCTAGCTGGATACTGCCATACCATCATCAATAAATAAAGAAAAAAGTTAAGCACCCCCTAATATATTTCATTATTGTTTGGTCCCAATATTAGTAACCGTTATGAAAGTTACGGGAAGAATTGTTTTCTCGAGATGATGTAATCAGTAATGCGTGAGGAAAGCTCACGTGCCATACATGGTATGCCTGTGCACCATGCTTCCCTCGAGTATCTCTAAAAGCAGTATATCCAAACGTTAAAATTGCTTTCTTAAGCTCGGTTTTAAACAGTTATTCCATGTGACCATGGCACGAAGGCGATTATCAAATGCCACAAGATTGCAAATATTCGGCATGCATAACGCAGGAATGTCTTGTTTTGCCATTGGTCGGAATTTTGGGTATCATCACACTGTCGTAAGCCGTTGAGTCGAGAAACATGCTCCGGCCGGTGATGTACAGGACCGTCCCAGATCCGGAAGACCTCCTGTGACGACACATCATGAAGACAGTGACCTTCTTCGTCTCATACGCCGAGAACCCTTTTTAACAAGTATTCGCCTGAAACAGTTGTGGTTGCCCTATCGTCGTTTCAGCACCAGAACCGTCAGGAACCGACTGAAAGCAGCAGGACTGAGGGCTAGACGAGTCATAAAGGGTCCTTTGTTGAGAGATCACCACAAAGCTGCTCGTTTCGCATGGTGTATTGCGCGACAGAACTGGACTCTGAGAACATGGAAATGGATCCATTGGTCAGACGAAAGTCGCTTTCTGCTTGATGGAGGAACGAGAGTTTGGAGGCACCGGAACAAGGCCTACACCCCCATTAAACCGACTGTTGCATACGGCGGTGGGTCGGTAATGGCTTGGGGGTGTATCGCTCATGATTGCAGGTTGGAGTTGGTCACCATAAGGGGCAACTTAACAGGGTCTCAGTACATCCGGGACGTTTTGAGGCCAGCAATCGTTCCTCATTTTGACAATCACCCTCTCGCTACTCGACCTCAGTTCATGGATGACAATGCCAGGCCTCTTTCGCATGCAGTCGTGGATTACATGAGGGCCAGCATTGCGCCCTTGAACACGTTTGGAATATTCTGGGGCGGCGCATACAGTCACGAGATCCTCCTGTACAAGATTAACGCCTATTGGAAGCAGCATTACATCAGGAGTGGTTGTTGTTGACCCATCAACAGATCCAACGTCTGACTGGAGGCATGAGACGTAGGGTGGAATGCGTCATCTGGACACGTGGACACCCGCTGCTGATCTGTTTCACGAGTCATGTCAAGTAGAGACTTTCAGGGACATTTTCACATGAAATATCAAACGTAACTCGTTTACTTAATCCTGCAGCTCCATATTTTTTTTAGGTATTGTCTAAGGTCAAAAACAGTACCTGTGTTACCATGATGTTTTTGTCAGTAAATTTCAAGAACAACTCATCAGTATCTTCTTTATTTTTTGTCAAATGTTCGTTCTATCCGATGACCTCTCAGTCGGTGCTGATATATGCCGACCTTCATTCCCAAGTATTAAGACTACATGAATGTTCCGTCCGATGTCTA